CCCTATTCCCCCCCCCTAAAAACAGTTTTATCTGAGTTGAGGGTGATGTTTCTTCATCCTGAAATCTTAGGTGCCAACTGATATTTCTGGCATCTAAACTCTGCACATTTGCCTTGAAGTTCACACTATTGAATAAAAGAAGAGTTATTTTGAATTCCTCTGGCTAGCTGTACTGTTACCAGCATTTAATATTGACAGTGTAGCTGCAATCTCTGCTGGCATAATTTGTCTTAAGAGCTGTTTATTTGCTGATGTGCTTATTGTGTCGGAATCTAAAAGGACCCATTTCCTGGACCCCCAGTCACTGCCTTCATCCTTGGCAATCCAGCCTTCTGGCCTTCGGGAAGAGCCTGGGCCACAACTGTGTCATAGAGCCTGGGGGTCCGGGAGTAGAAGGGTACCTTTTCAAGGTTTGTACTCAATGGGATATCTGGCTGTCTTCACCTTATGAATGTCATTGTTTTGTCTTGAATTGATCTCTCAATTGTGATTTTAATATGGTTGTATGTTTATGCATTTATTTATATTTTTACTGTGTTTTATTCCTGTTGGTTTTGACTGTTGGGTGCCACCTGTGAGATGGAACTCTCGATAAACCTAATCATATATGGTTTACTAAAAGTATACAGAACACACAAATTATATCATACGCATGAGTTTACATGCAGAGTAGAATCTTATTTGTGAAGAGTCACTTATGGGGCTGGGATAGACACAATTGATGGTATCATCCCACCCCAAAATCAACCTGGAGGAAATCCCAGGTATTGAAGATAGGTCCTCTTGTTGACATCATGCTGCCATACACTGAATATCAACTACATATGGCGATTCATGATAAATTTATGGATTTCAATGATTTTTGTACTAACCAATCCAGCGATGCTGGATATATCGTGATCCATTTTGTAAATCTGCACCTCTCATCTTCCTCTCTCATTTACTTGATCATGTGAGATACATGAAGACACTCTCTTATCTGGGAGTCATCATAGCTGGGAGGGAACTAGTATATACTGTATTACGTGCGTGCACGTGCACAAAAACACACATGCATACACAAGCACTGACTTGTGACATGCCAGAATAGCAGTCCAGTCCAGGTTGTTGTTGGTAGTATGAAGAAGTCTAGAAACATTATCTAGAACTGCTTATTACTGCAATCTAGGACTTTTCCAGCATAAAACCAAAGTTTTACTCTCTCCAAAATTCTTATTTCCCTAATCCAGAGCTTCTTGGATACAAAAGAGGATTTTATTTTTCCAAATTGTGTTCAATCCAGGCTTTTCCTCATTCTTTTACCTGCAAAAAAAGGGAGCTGCACTCTTTGTGATGGGAAGAAGCAGATCAAAAGTCTCAGAGGGGAAACCTTCAGGATGCCACAGGGCCTCCTGCTTCAGCAGAGGTTGGACTAGATGACCTCTGAGGCCCCCTCCAGCCCTAGGATTCTCTGTGATTAGGAGATGGCAAAACTGAACTCCCAGCCTCTGCCCTCCAATCTTCTTGGAAAATCTTCCTTGAATCTGAAGAGGGGAAGGAAGGAAGGAAGGAAGATCTTTCTGCAGCTTTTTCCTTGAAATGGAGGAAGAAAGAATCCTCTCCAAAGGTAGACTTGGGCAACAAAAAAGAGGCCACTGGGTCTTTGCATGGTTTAGCTGTCTTTCCTACTGCCTGCAGTGGCCAGCTAGGACTTAAAGGTAGACTGTAGATGCCTTCCTCACTACAGGCAGCAAGGCAGACAGCTAAAGCATGCAAAGACCCATCGCCATCCATTTTGTGATCTCAGTCTCTACTCGGCTTGGAGACCTTTGGGTCACTCTTGGTTGCCTCTCCAACTCTCTTCTGCTGATTGCTGTATTTTCTTCCTGCCTTTGCTGCTCCGGGTCCCAAATGACGTAGAGAGATTCCCTGTGTTGGCCTGCTTCCTTCCCTCTCCTGTTCGGCATGCAGTCAAGGGACGTGCCTGAAAGATTTTGTCTCCCTCTTGGCTGGCTGGCTGGCAGGCAGGCCTTCCAAAAGGGGAGAGATTGGAGGACAGAGGTGGGGAGTTTAGTTTTATCACCTCATGGGGGGGGGGGGACAATAGCCCCTCCCAGTGTTTTGCAACAGTCACAGAAAATCACAGGGCTGGAGGGGCCTTCAGAGATCATCTAGGCCAGGGGTAGGCAACCTTGGCTCTTTTATGACTCGTGGACTTCAACTCCCAGAATTCCTGAGCCAGCCATGCTGGCTCAGGAATTCTGGGAGTTGAAGTCCACGAGTCATAAAANGCCAAGGTTGCCTACCCCTGATCTAGGCCAACCCCTGCTCAAAGCAGGAGTCCCTATGCCAGTGATGGTGAACCTTTTAGAGACCGAGTGTCCAAAAACTGACCCCACCCTCACTCCACCCCCTGCCCCGCCCCCACCCACTTATCTGCAGGGCCACTCACCTCCTCCAGAGCCCACTGCAGATCGCCCAGGCAGCCCAGCAGCGCCATGGAGGCCACACCCTCTGCCCGCGCCCCGCAGCATCAACTGTGTGTGATGGGGCATGAGGGCAGAGTCTTTTCTACGCTGCCTGGCTGCCATGTCCTTGGTCGCGCTGCTCCATGTGGGCCATGCTTGGGGGCGACTCTCCTCCAGGGGGGCTGCTGGGGAGGAGGGGGCCGTGTGGGGAGGCGGGGCTGGGGCAATGGCATGTGCCCACAGAGAGGGCTCCGGGTGCCACCTCTGACATGCATGCCATAGGTTCGCCACCACTTCCCTATGCCATCCAGGAGAAATGGTCCAGCCTCCCCTTTAAGTACTACCTGGCCTCTGCAGGCAGTAAAATGAACAGCTGAGCTTGCAAAGAAATAATGGATTGATCTAGAGCAGGGGTGTCAAGCTACATCATACGGAGGCCGCGCCCATCCCAGTTCCGCTAATGCAAAAAAAGTCACAATACGTCGTGACACGTCACGTGATGCGGCGAGTTCGACACCAATGATCTAGAGCTATGTTTCTCAAGGGATTTTAAGGTGGATGGACTTCAATCCCAGTATTCCTCTGCTGGCTGGGGGATTCTGGAAGTTGAAGTCCCTAGGCCTTAAAATCACTCAGGTTGAGAAATAAATAAATAAGTGGCTAGAAATAAATGGATGTTAGTATAAGGGATCCAAGTCTTCTGACTGATTCCTTTATTGAAGGTGGAGGCACAAAATGTAGAAAGACCTTTTGCGAGTGGGATATGGTCGTGGAAGAAAGGTGAACTTCCAGATGTAGCTTATAAGGACTATTGTTGGCAACTTTGAAAGTTGTTCACTAAAAGGAAGATCCAATCTAGCACATATAGTAATTAGAGAGGAGGAAACGGATTATCTGAACCCTTTTCAGTCAGGTTTCCAGCCAAGTATGGGACCAAAACTGTATTGGTCACACTCATCGATGATCTTCAAGAAGAACAGGATGGAGGCGGTGCAACCTTCCTTGTTCTTCTTGACCTCTTGGCGGCTTCCAGTACCATCGACCGTGGTATTCTTTCAGGCTGACCTAGGGTAGTGGGTTGAGTGGCACAGTTTTGTGCTGGTTCATCTCATTGTGCTACGCTAATTCCATGTGGTTGTAGCAACCTGTTGGTGGTTTCTGAGATGTTCCTGATGTATGGCAATGTTATTCTTTTCAGGGCCTGTGTTGGGTTGAGTGGTCAGGCACTTTCTGATAAAGTTGTGTGAATATCCATTTTCTTGGAATATGTTGTATAAGTGCTCTTTTTCCTTTTTCTGCTGTTCAGAGTTGCTGCAGAGGTTTTGTGCTCATCTAAGTTTATATGCAGCTTCTCTTGTGGGAGGTTGGATTGTTGCTTTAGTAACATCACTTGGTTGGTGTTGGGTTTTTTTTTTACAGTTGTGTTTCTAGTTTGCCATTGTGGTCTCTGCTGATCAAGACGTCCAGGAAGGGGAGTGAGTTATTGCTTTCTTCTTCTTTGGTAAACTGCATTCCTTTGAAAATGGTGTTGATGGTTCTGTGGGTGTTCTCTAATTGATCCTTTTTTTATTATGGTGAAGGTGTCATCTACATATCTGGTCCATATTTTGGGTTATATTTGTGGAAGTGCTATGGCTTTTAGACGTTGCATAATGACCTCCACTATAAGTCCTGAAAGCGGTGTTCCCATAGGTGTGCCTTTAATTTGCTGCTACGTTTGTCCAGCAGATTGGAAGTATGTGGTTAGGCAGAGATTTATGAGATCCATAATCTGGGGTGTTTCAGTCTTCGTGCATTTGGTTAAGTCAGGTATGCTGTGAACAATGTGGTCATAATTCCAGATGTATGGACGTGAACAAGGCCATGACATTGGACAATTAGAGTTGATGTTATTGTTTGTTCCTGAAGTCAAAATGATTTAATATCCAGGAATATGAATATTGTGAGCCAATTTTTATGGTTAAATTGCATTATCCCCTCTTCCCTAAGGCCATGATTCCTCTGAGAAACTACTGAAGTAGGTCATAAGGCAGGTTCATGAATCTTTAACTTTTTATACTTGGTAGGATCTTGAAGTTGAATTTGTGCTTTTTAGCATTAAATACTGGTTCCAAGTTGTGCATAAAATGTGCAATTATGTTCAAGTGTTTTCCTTTGCAGAATTAAATCCAAATGCCAATGAAGAATAATTACTATGCTGAATTTTTATTATAACTTCCATCCTGGGCAACATGTCTGTGGAGATTCTCAATCATCCAGGTCATGATTGTTCCAAAGGTGCTTTTCAAAAGGCAACGGGACTTTCTTGGGGGGTTTTTTTCCTTGAAAATGTTTAGCTTCTCACCCAAGAAGCTTCTTCAGTTCTTTGGGACATCCTGGGTGACACTCCTTGATAAAGGCCGTTATTTCATCCAGGAGGGCGTATGGGAGGGAAAAACAGATAGTAGCTGATGCTTCATGTGTAGCAAGTCCTTTCCCCTCAGTCTTCCCCTCACTTTTCAGAATAAAAGAGATTTCCATGGTATCCATAATTGTTTTATTTTTTCAAATAAAGACAATACAACATTCATGAAACCACAATGCAGTATCTCAATCATTCACTGAAAGAACGAGAATATAGTACCACCTCCACTGGTGAATAAGTAATACATATCCAAGCCATTCTGGCCTTAGCAAAGTTCAAATCCCAATCTGGACTTTTAGATGAGAATGATGTCTAATCAATTTTGGATTAGAGGGGATTCCTACCGTTTTGACCAGAGAAACTACAGGGATGCTCTAGCCACTTTATTGTTGACCACTGGAAGGGCCTCTAACATTTCTTAGTTAAATTTTAGCTCTAGGTCCAATTTATGTCTGTAAAAATGCGTGTTCTGAAGAATGTCTCAATAAAATCAGTATTAAAAAGAACCAAGGCAGTTGTAGGGAACTACTTCAATGGATCTGTATATTCAGATGCGTTAAGAATCCTTTCCCCTGCCCCTGTTTAGAAGTTGTCTTCTGTTTTTTTTTAAAGAATTGCTATACATAACAAGGCTAATGATCTTTCACCAATAAAGTCATAGAAGGAGGTTTTCACCATAGATGACTGGATGCCAATGGAATAGAAACCTGTTTCAGGCACCTCTTTATTACAGTTGATCTAAATAAGGGCCAAACAATCAGGAGAATCATTTCAGAATGCAGGTCCTTTTGGTATTCCACAGAATGCAAAAAGGAATCTGTACTTGGCTTGGGATACACCTCATCTAGACATGCTGAGAATGGATAAAGAATTTATTTTCAAGACCCCTGCTGCAGAAAAAGATACATTTATTTTCACTGGTATTTGGCCATTTACTAGTGTCTATGATAGCTGTTTAACCACTGCTAAGAAGTACAACTCAGATATAGTTGCGGTACTGTTCCAGAATAGTTAGATCAGAAATTGCATTCAACCAAACGATCTGTCTGGCAATTCTGGCAATCTAAAAATGTTCAACACATCATGAGGCCATGAAGTTGGGATGGCTAGTATATAATGTTGCTCAATTTAAATGTATCTCTTCTGTACCTTCCCTCTCTATATCTGTGCTAAAGGCTTCAGAAATTAAATGGAAAACTAGTTTATACATTCATTTGTACCACAGACTCTCAGCCAAACATAGAAAACAATGTCCAGAGAAAGTATTGTGTTGGTATTAAAATATGAGGATGAGTAATACAATATGTATTTAATCTATAATCGCTCAGTCCCATGTCACTTGATGCTACAATCGGTTCTGAACATGCACTCATGAACTAGTCAAAAGCAATAGAAATTGCTAAGTCATTGTGTAAAACTTTGGTTTCCTTCCAGCCATTTTCAGTATCTCAGTCATATAAACAATTCTAAGCAGGCTTACAATTATTTACTTTGCAGCTGGTTAAACAAGAAAGACAGGATATATTTTAAATAAGTTAATTGGGATTCAGTCACTCAGAACTGTCTCTGATCTATATATGTCTCAGTTGTGCTACTAATAGAATATGAACAATTGTCATTATTTTCAATGTAGTATGGTGCTCTAAAAAGCACATCCTAAAGGAAAGTCACAAATGAACTATCCTACTGGTTATGTTTTATTTTCAACTTTTATTGAATCTACTGTTCAACAAGTGATTTGTGAAATGAAGCCCTGGAATTTAAGTTTTACACCATCCAGTCAACAGTGATGATACAAATTATCTCCACAAAGCAAACAGGAAATAGTTCAATGGAAATTTTGTCCCTTCTTTTTCCACATTCAGACTATCAAATGAGCTTTAAATGACTAAATGTATGTATCAGTATGTTCATAAAACATTGTGAGGTAAACGAACAATTCTAACGGACTTATATTTGTAGAGGTGGTCTTGCCTGTCTCCCTCTTTTCTTAAAAATAATCTGTAAATGTCCCCTATAAGTATATTCTGTAAATGCTATGAATGTGGCTAAAAGGCCCACTTGCAATTATAGGCTCCTTGTAGCAATAATTTATCCATAGCACCTACTTCTAAAGTGCTGTGCTTATCTAATGCCCCATCATAATAAATAACAATAAAATGACAATAATAAATATAAATAAGTAAAAAATAGGGCACATCTCCCAAAATTGCATATAATGTTCAGACATAAATAAAACAAGGTCTTCTTTCAAATGTCTTTAAAAGGAAATCTGTCCCAAGATGGCAGAAGATTGAGATGTATGAAGTAGCAAAGCAGGTGAAACCTTCCTCTTGAGTATAAATGCAAAACCGTTTGGATGCAAAGCTCTGGAACACACCAAGCTGATCACTGTACAAACATGCAGAGAACTGAAGGCCTCTGAGGCTGACATGCAATGGGCAGAAATCTCAAACTGGTGTCTGCTGTGAATAGAAGATATGAGAGTTGTGCTATGTACACTTTTTGGTCTGTGTTTATAGGTGCAGAGACTAGCTTTTGAGACTAGATGGAGACTATCACTGGTTCAGACAGATGAATGCACAGATGAATGGTAAACATTTTAGGAGTATTTCTCATTCCCTTTCCTGTTGCATTTCTCTTCCTGTTTGGAGACCAGAGTTCTCTTTTCATCAACTTCTCCAGCCTTTTTCATAGGCTTTCCCATTTTTTTTCAACTTGCAGCCTCTTTTCTAAAGAAGGTCTACATTTTTGTAGAGCTTCTGGGTGCATGGAAGCATTGGCGGTCCCAGGCATCCAGGCCAGGAAAAAAATCCCAACCAAAGCTCTGCAACTGAAATGTTCTTGGCACCCTCCACTTGGACTCCAGCCTCTCCAGTTTTTCATTCTGTGTCTCTGTTCCCCAACACAGTTCCAGATGATGACAAGGGATCGGCTCAGGTGTGTGCAGGTTTGCCTGTTCTGTGGTCATTTATTTGTTCAATCAGGTCTCTGTAATAAGCAGATTTCAGAAATCTGGGATAGGAGTCCTTCTCCATCAAGATGTATGTTTTTGCTTGTGCTTCTTCAAAGCATGTAGAAGTGGCCACAGCAAGGTTCCTTCTGGTTGCTTCTCGAGTTTCATGGTCAAGATTTACCTAAAGGAGAAAAAAATATGGTGAATATAGCCCCTTGGTTGCAACTTGATGAATGAGAAACAACATATACCATATAGGATATACTGTAACACTATAACTAAGATAGAAAATTTCTTAAGAGTGCATCACAAAAAGTCTTCTGAGTTATAGGTCTAGATGGAAGACATTTCCATTTCTTTAAAAAGCGTATGCTATTTATTCAACAGTGAAGGACCTGCAAAGTAGATATCAAAAGCTTCTGGAAATCGAATCTGAAGAAGCAAATATGAATCTGAAGAAGCAAATATGAATGAACATATTTGCAATAAATAAAAGGTGGGAAATTCTCAAATGCATGGAAGAATTTTGGCAGCAGTTCGTTCCCTGAGCTTGCTGTTTTGGTCCTGGAGGTTTCGTTATCAGACTAGGTAACATCTTCAGTGGGACTTCAGGTGAAGTGTTTTGTTCAGTTTTTCTTCTGTTTATATAGGTCCTGTGTGGTAGTGTGGTCAGTAGATCATGTTTGCATGGTACAAAATTCAACTGGTGTGGAGGTGGACAGTTCCATCAATGATTGGTCATTTGGATGGTCTGGTTTCTTATAGGTTCATATCCTGGTTCTAAGTCAATATGTTTGCTGATGGATCCACATTGACTTAGAACCACCACACGAACCTCTAAGAAACTGGACCAATCGCGGACCATCTCCTCACCAGTTGAATTTCACATGTGCAAACAACCAGTCACACGACCAACTGACCACAACTTCACAAGACCTATGTAAATAGAAGAAAAACCAAACAAAACACTTCATCCGAAATCCCACTGAAGATGTTACCTAGTCTAGTTAACAAAATGTCCAGGAGCTCAGAGAATGAACCGCTGCCAAAATCCACAACCCGAGCCACAAATATTCTCTGCATGGAAGAATCCAAACCGCTCCATTCACCTGTCCTCCTTTGGACCGTTGCTATGCACTATCAGCAAAAGGACTTGTACTCATCTTCCCTTTCCTGGGTACGGGAGTTATAGCTAGATCAGATGGTGAGCGCACCAAACCGGGAAAAGCCAACTTAGATAACCTTGAAATGTCATGCCCTTCCCATTGTAAAGGCACTGTCGCCAGTACTAAGATATATCTTGAAGCTGAATCTGCATGCAGTAGATCAGGGGTAGGCAACCTTGGCTCTTTTATGACTCGTGGACTTCAACTCCCAGAATTCCTGAGCCAGCACAGCTGGCTCAGGAATTCTAGGAGTTGAAGTCCACGAGTCATAAAAGAGCCAAGGTTGCCTACCCCTGCAGTAGATGGACCTAATGATGTGCAACATGTTATCAAAAGTTAAGGTAGATCTATTGTATCACAGGCCCTTTAGAAAACTGCATGACTCAGCAGAAAATGCCTATTCCAGATAACTGAGCTTCCTATTGTGTTCCTTTCTTAAGAACCCTCATTTTCATTCCATTTCTTTTTATGAGCCAGTTACTCGAATGATGCCAAAAAAGCTAATTAGTGTTACTAGGTAGTAGAAATCATTTATCACTGGGAGGCCTACTGTGTGTTTCGTACTTACTGTAGGATGATTATTTCTGCAAGGCACAGGTGTACACAGGTGCCTTGACTCTTGCACACATGTATTACCTATGGATATTTATTTCCTGAAACAGAGCTGTGAGGAATGAATCTATAGTCTATATCAGCGTTTCTCAACCTTGGCAACTCTAAGATGTGTGGACTTCAACTTTCAGAATTCAGAAGGGTGGCTGGGGAATTCTGGGAGTTGAAATCCACACATTTTAGAGTTGCTAAGGTTAATACTAGTCGACATAGAATCATACTCTATCTCAGCACTGTGGGAAAACTCATGATCACATAACCTGTCTGAACTTGCTGAAATCTGTTCTCCAAGTGTGAAATGACGCCAGCTCATGCCTTTTCCTTCTCAAGGCTGATTTAGAATTGCAACTGCCCATAGCTGTCACCGCCCATAGCTGTCACCGCATACCTACACTGGGAAGGGGTTGATGGGTAAGCGGAGGGCTGCAGATGGGGTCGTGCAAATGCCTCCCAAATCCCAACTGCGTGTTGTGTGGAGGTGTGTGCCCTATATATTGATTGGTTGATCCAACTTCCTGTACTGTACTTTGCTGTTTGAGAATACCCTAGCCAGAATGTTAAAATTCACTGATGTATAAAAGGAACATCTATGCAACCATTCCCGAATGACAGATGCATACATTCCCTATGTGCTAAGCCAGAAAAGTCTGCTCAAGCCTTTATGTTCCTCTATTTTTAAATCAAGTTAGGCTCAGGCAAGTTTTTTTTTTTAAAAAAAAAAGTTCTGCTTTGAAGTTGTGTGATTGACTTTTGAACTTATAAAGCCATTTGACTCACCTCCCTGGGGGCCTCATTCTGAACAAAGTCTTCAAAGATCCTGTTGGCTTTGGTTGCTAATTTTGCTTTGGGGGGGATTTTCTTATATTCTTCACAGGCGAGCCAAAACTCCAGATTTTCTTCACTAAATTCCGTTTTAAGAAACCCATGAAATGCTGCCATGCCACCTGTAAATGAGATAGAATAACCAGTTTAGAACTGGTAGAGAGAAGGAAAAGAAAGACTGTTGCTAACAGATTTTTAAAACGTTGCATGTTTTGCAAATTCTAATGTCAAGGACAATATATCTTAAAGATAACATGGTTTATTTCTGGGTAGAGAATAACCTATTAAACTCCAGTAGCATCTTATTTATTTAGCTTTCTATTATAGAGAAAAAAAAATCCAGGTGGCAAAAACACAACATTAAGAGGATGAGAATCCTCTCCCTGAAAATCTGGAGTGAATGGTCTTACTGTTACTAAATTTAAAAAACAAAATGGAGAGGTCACATTTAGCATAATAACTAATTTGATTCAAATGAGAGCCTGTGGGCCTAGTGGTTAAGGCACCAGGCTAGAAAGTCAGAAATTGAGAGTTGTAGTCCCATTTTAGGCATGAAACCCAGCTGTGTGAGTTTGGGCCAGTTATTCTGTCTCAGGGTTGTTATTATGGGGAAAATAGGAGGAAGAAGGTATGTTGGATATGTTTGCTGTCTTGAGTTATTTGTAAACATACTAAATATTAGTATTCTCAACACTTCAGACCTTTGTTATTTGGGCAGGGAATTCTAGGAGCTATAATCGCATAACACTATGTTAGGGATGATTGTTCGTTCAGTGATTCTGTAAAGTATCTGCTTTTTCTGCTTTCTAGGAAAATCCTCTGGTGCATTTTGTGAAGACATGACTGGTTGGCAACCCTACTGAATCATGTGAAATCACACAATCGCCATTCTTGTTACTTGTAATTATAAGGTTTGGGGTTTTTTTTTACAAATTGTTCATTACATACAAGATGTATACTTACTTCTGCTTCTCAGCAGTTGATCAAAGGACTCCTTCCATCCAAGTGCTTCCTCCAAAGAATATCTGGAGAAGAAATGAGTAGTTTTAGAGGTTGTCCAAGAGTAATGTTGTAAGCGAGGAGTATAGGAAGCAGAGCCACTGGGAAGTGCAGAGGTGATCCTATTTATCTTGCCTTCACTTCTCATAATCCCCATTCAAGAAAAGTGCGTCAGTCACTTGCCCGCTGCCACACATTGCCTCACATACATTATGTCATTAACAACATTTAAACAACTGAAGCTAGTTCTTCAAAATTTCTTATCCTTCATAGCCAATTAAGATGTAGAGCTTTGTTCTGGAGGCAATATTCTGAAATGGGCAAAAAATGCTATCCGGAAACTGAGTAGCTGAGATATCCTGAGTGAAGATTTATTGAAAAATCACCCTATTTTTTTTTCATAGAATGTTATAAGTGACCGAGATAAGGGGGTCTTTCATTTTTAAGTCTCCCATTTTCACCCTACCACTTCTTCCATCATTTTCTTTTCAGGAAAAAAAAATAGTGTTATAACACTTGCACAAGACTTTTTAATATTAGTGTTTCTCTGTCTGGAAGCAGCTTCTCTCCAAAAACATCTCAGCCATTTGGCTGACTCAGAACGGCTCTTTGTCTGGTCATAAATGGGGGATGCAATGTAACAAACAGCCATATCATACAAAATATTTTCTGCTACAGTTAAAAGGCATTAACTAGGATGCCTTCTTCTCCTTGAACTCAATTAGAAACTGAAATAACCCTAAAATTGTATTGCTCTGCCACTTCTATCAACCAAGTATAGACTTACTTTTGTTTGGTGCTCCAGCTGAAGTTCCCAATTTTATGTCCAAACTCTGGTTTATGAAGCAGAATTCCCAAACGTGTTTTAAATTCTTTGGCTCTGGAAAAAAGAAAAGAATATAATTCAAAATGCATACTAAAAGTACCGTGATTACTGGAGGGTATCAAGGGCAGGCAAGGATGTTCCTTCAAACTTAAGGTCTGGAAGGAGCTTCTTGGTTCAGACAATTTAAGGTAAGAGTTTGCATGGTGAGACTGAAGGTTGTAGCATTTCTTTAGTAATGCCACTACTTGGCTTCTCTGCTAAGCTCTCCTTTTCTCCATTAGAACATGCATTTTTTTATCCTTTATCCACCAATCTTTAACTTGGCTATCTGTATTATATTGTTGGCAACAAGGATAAATTGAAAAATGGATTTTAAACAGCAGAATGCAATAATAAGTTTTCTTCCTCAGGGTTGAATTAGCTTTTTATCTCCCCCCCTCCCCCCTTTCACCAGATATCCATTGTTTAATTCTCTGGACCAATCTCTCTCCCTCAACTTCTCATCAAAGCCCAACCAGTTCTAGGCTACAAACTCCAGACCACCACTAGGTGGCAGCAAAGAGACACAAAGAACACTTGTGCTTAGTCTGATGGTCATCTGGAGATTTGTACCCCCAGATCTGATAGCGCTACTCTTAAGTGCCCCGATCTGTGAAGTGAAGTGATATGACATGTCATGACTCCAGACTACCAGGGCATTAATTCTGTCATGGTCTAAGTTACCTTACAAGAATTCAATATTCCAACTACAGTACCTAATTTCTTAAAAGCTACTCACAATAGTATTCCAATAAAAAGAGAAATATATATGCTTTCTGCTTTGTAAAACTAGGCAAGCATTTCAATTCTGCAAAATTCTTAAGCTACTAATTATCATCAGTAATATGTACCAAAAAGCAAGCAATATGTGCCAAAATTTAATAATCATCCATAAACTGGTGAACAATAAAAATGTTTGATCCTTCAAAAATGTTTATAAAAATTCTATTATATCTACATTATATCTATAACCTTAATCAACATATTTTTGATTGACCATCATTATTAGATGAGGTCAACATTTAATCTGCTGTAGAAAAACTGAACATACATATACTGTAGTTGGTGTGCACACATATAGATATAATTCCATGATGCACTTTTATCCACCTTTTTTAGTTTATTCCCGTTTAAATCTTTTTACATTTTTCTTGCACCTTTTGTTCTTTTCTGTTTATTAAAGCAATATTTAAATAAATTAAATACTATTGTTTCTAGTATTTATCCAGCATGTTTTAAAAATGCACTGTCATGATTCCACAGATCATAGAAAAGATGCTCTTTAGTTGATAATGAATCTAGCTTATTATTACTATTTAAACTGATATGTGTACAGTATTTCTGAATTAGCTGTTAAATTTTATAGCATTTAGGATTAATCAGTACCATCCTGTTCACCAACTTGTAATTATATTTTTGTGCCGAACTCCTGAAAAATTATACTGTCACATAATATTGAGACAAATCACAAATATTACTAGGAACAAACGTTAAGTCAAACCAGAATAATGATTCTCTAGGTAATGTCACTTATTTTTATGACTTTTTATGAAATTCCAGCTTTTGATGGTTATTTATTTAACTGGTACAGTTATAGGAGTTCTGAATCTATTTGGACCAGTGAACTCATTTGGAATGTTGAAGTCACGTTGTAGCTTTTTTCACAAAAGATTATCATGATAGGTTCAGTTAATCCATATATCAGAAGTTAAATACTTTAAGGCTCTGGAACTGCAATTACCTAGCATTTTGTAAGAATGGAATTATTCTTAGAAAATACAGATTGCACTTACACCTTGCGCTTTGGTAATTTGCCACTTAAAAAATTAAAATAATCTTCTGTTTAAAAATAATTTGTTGCAGGTAGTTTAGTGGGTGTCTACTCTTGCTCCTGGGCACTGTGCTGGGGGCCCAGATCTGTGCTATGTGGCCTTCAAGTGCAGAAGGTCAAGCGAATCATGAGGACGGTTAATAGTCTGTTGCTTCCCACTTTGGGGCATCTGTATTCCTTTTGATCTTTCTCCAAACAGGCACTCTGTTTGGACTTGGCTGTGAACCTACTAACAGGCCCGGGCATTCCTTCATGTCTCTATAGCTGTTGCATCTGAGACAATCAGGAACATGAAAAATCAATTGGATTTTCCCAGAGGTTTAAAAGATGTGATGACAATGTATTTGCCTTTGACTGCCTCTACTTTTTAACTGCACTATTTCCTCCCAAAGGTTACTAGAGTGCTTATCAAGTCATTATGGGGTGATGTGGCTGGGGCCAGGAGCAAAGGAGAGGAGAGAGGTTCTGTAAATACAAGAAATGTTATCCTGCCTTTTTCAAGCACAGCAGATGGACAGCACACCAAAGCAAAATTCAGATGCAATTATCAAACTCTCTTCATTGTCCTTTTCTCATACCTGTCCACCTATCAAAAAACCACACTGTACATTCCTCAAGGCAGACCTTCAGCTTTTTTGCTGTAGCTATATTGTTTTACTAGGACACAAATGAAGTGCCAATCTCATAATTATTATAATTATTTTCCATCGATGCTTCTACATTATCTCTCCCTAATTACTATTCCTCTTCAGTGACTAACTAGATGCTTTCCTTGCCACTATTCAAAGCATCCCATAGCTGGTAGAGTTTTCTGACTTTGAATGTTGTATCACACCTGCCTAGCAGGGTGGTGCTGCAGCCATTCAGAGGTCTCTCCCCTGGTTGGTGCATCACTGCGACAGTTTGGAGATGGCTGCCTGGTGCATCGCTTTCTATTCTTAGCTCACCAACCTCTGGCTGGTGTGTGGCAGGCATGCTAATGATGTGCAGTGCTACTTCCAGAGGTGTCTTTGAGAACTGCATTGCAAAGACATGGGAGAGTTTTGTACTCATTTTCTAATCACAACATTTAAAAGCATAAAAACAAGCCAAATGTATGAAGCAGACAGTCCAACAGCTCTCAAGAAATATAAGGCAAACCTATTTCTTTTAATCTCTTATTATTATCATTACCTCCCTTATCTTTCCTCAGTGCTGAACTAAATAACACCAGTCCAGTTATTACATGAAATGGTACAATCAGGGTTTGGGATATAGACAAAGATCGTTCCTGGTCAGTACCTGTGGCCAAGTCAAGTCCAGTCCAGTCCTGACTGTTCAGTGAAGTAATAATTTGCTAAGAGCTTCAATAATTTCCCAAGCCTCTTACCTTTCCAAGCAGCTAGCAGGCAGTGCAGCTAAACCCCGGCACATGTTGAGAAAGTAGCTGGATGGCTTGCTTAAATCTGCAGAAACCGGATTGGGGAGCAGTGGAGGGTTCTGATCACAGCCTTCACCTATTAAGCTTGCAGTGCTGGAGCCTGGAAGCAGAGCTTTTATATCTTTCAGGAAGTGGGAGGGAGCATGAATCAAGCACACAGCTCCCGCCTGCCTCTATACAAGAAGAATTGGAACTGTCCTTGAACAGCACAGTCATAAGTGGAATTCAGAATGAACAAGCAGGACAAAATATGGGTGTTTCTGTTGTAGCTACACTTGTATTCCATGATTGAAGGGTACTTACACAGAAACTGCAGTCAAGAGCTCAAGGGATGTATTTTTCTTCTCTGAAAAGCACTTGGCTGCTGCGCTTATCATCAAATAAAATACACACTCTAATAGCAAGTGCCAAACAGTCTTTGCTGTTCTTGTTCTTTTAAAAAAATGTGATGACAGAGTCGACGCATAATTTAAATACATCAGCCTAATTTGCCAGGACACAGTTGGTGCTAGCACCAATAGAAGCGTTTTTCCTGGTGCGAGGAACTGGTTGAGGTTGACCAGTGGAGTGGGAGATAGTGTTAAATCGGGACCACAGTAAGGCAAGACCAAACTACATTGGGACTGCAATAGGGCAAGGGCCAGGACAGTCTGACAAGCCTATCTACTTTGGCCCCAAAAGGTCCAGTTAAAACCTCTTGGAAATAATTGTGGGTGAATGATGATATACATTTCGGTGTGGCAATTATGCTCCCTTGGCAGAACACTTCTTAGCTTCCAGTTTGGAGCAACTTGTGAACCCAATGAAAAGCAGAGACAGCCAGAGCAGCGTGAGTACAGTTGAGGATCTTCCATGGAGCTCCATCTCTAATATATAGTTGGGGAATGTAGTGAAATGAAAGGGAGAGTGCTGCATCAAGCATCCCCAAAGGTTTCTTTTGGTATCATCTCTTAGTAGAAGGAGAAATGCTGGGTTCAAGGGTGGACATGAGAAATAGCCTTGAATCAGAGTGATCTTGGTGATCAGTCACTCCAAGAACGGGGGGGGGGGGGGGGGAGAGAGAGATTGTTGCTGTCTAATTAATGTATCAATATTAAATTAATGCCACTTTTGGAAGATGGGGTGGTTTTAGGTCCCACAGCCTTTATTTGTAAGATAGCTTGATTTCTTTTCATTTTTAAGAAAAGAAGCGTGTCAATGGAATTTAGAGGTACCCAAACTATAAGTGCATTCAAATAAGGTTTTCTGATTTTTTTTTACCATTTTTACTGTAGGCAGCATTCATAACGTACTGTTATATTCAAATTAAGAATTTGAGAGGGTTTTTTTTTTTAAAAAAGTATGCATTATTTGATTTCCCTGTTTTTAATCCTTTATTTTGGAGAATGCTTCTACTACTACTTAGCTAAAAGCTGAATCCTGCAAATCAAAGAGATAATCCCGTAGGTAAAATAATCACAATGTCAGGCTTCCATAAGTATTTCTAGAAAATAAGGCTTATGTAATTGAATGATGCTCTCTCTTACCCTGCTCTATAATCATCACTCCACAAAAACACACTGCCCCAATACACAGAAAACAACCATCAGGCAGAACGAGTAAGTTTTAACTAGGTTTTCTCATTGACAAACTATTTTTCTATGTAGAAAACCAGTCTGAAGTATAGGAGAACAAGGACATATCACTTTAAAGTCCAAGGCAACAAAACATTTTTGCTTCCAAAGCAGCATTCACTGGGCTGAAACTGCCCTTCCCCATTAGAAATAAAACTGCCCTAGTACGACAGCAAAATCCTAGTGGTAATGATGTATATAGACTGTCGGGGGCATGAGGCCCAAATGTCATGGATATATCACTTTCTGGAAGAGCAGCCCCCAACCCTTTGGGCACCAGGGACTTGTTCCGTGGAGCTTCTAGGAGCTGGAGGGACTGTGGTTTTGTGTGGTGCCTGCATCCCATGTATGGGGCTTCGCTTGTTTGCATGGCCCAGTTGCTGGCATGCCATGGACCAGTGCCAGTCCACAGACCGAAGTTGAGGACCCCTGGTCTGGAAGACCCCTCAATTCCCCACTTTATGACTCTTACCCAAAATGGTAGGGGAAGTTATATTTAGCTTTTAAAGCTGTGAGAGGTTTATTCATATCTCTCCCCCCCCTCCCAGCTTCTCTGCATGTGGGGAAAGAAAAAAAATACAGAAAGGAGAGGCCAAAGACACTGCTTTGATTGGCCTACTATAAACATTTAACTAAAAGATATCAGAAGAAGAATTTAAACAAAAGGGAGCAACAAAGGCAGGAAAGAGAAACGAATACAAAAAAAAAAATCAGAGGCAGAAAAATAGGGACATATTTCACAACATATTCCAAACCTTGATTTAGAAATCCAGGTCAGAATATATTGCACAGATCTATCAACGTGAACGAGGACAATAAAAAGCTTAGCCCACCTAGAGAGGGCTGCTTATTAAGATGATAGAAGAGGGCTATAGACAGTGTAGAGCACAGATACTTCCAAAGGTTCTCCAACTCCACATGATGCCCAGATTTAATTAATTTGTGCCACAGACCATGCCGCCTAAGGCCCCAACTGTAAGGCCACAGAGGTTTTTCAGGAATGTGCCAATTTACTTATGCTGGAAAAAGAAGAGAGAACTGTATGGAATTGCCAAGCTTCTCGTCTTGCTCCCAAGCTGTGTTCTTTTTCCATCACTCAAGTCCTGACCTTCCCAAGCTGCTGTTCATCCCCACTGCTAAATCTTGTGCTTACTTCAGGGACGGCAGGACCCCCGTTTCCACAGCAGTTCCTCTGCAGGGATGTTTCAGTACTTTTCTGCTTGTTGCTAAGCTTACTTACATTAGTGTTAAATAGAGACTATTCGAATGTATTCTTCATCCCCAATGTATTTGCACTGGAATCCTTATTAGTATAACAGAGTAGCAGAATCAACTATGTCGTTGCAGTTTAAGGGGCAATCTGAGGCTATAGGGCTATTTTAATTTCTTCTACTTAACATGCAGCACACATTGAAGGTTGATGATACTGCACCTATAGTGGTTCAATTCATTTTACTTTCTCACTTTCATTATCAAAATCTACTATCTTGTGTTTAGCAGACATGGTTCTACAATTAGCAGAATGGTTCTACAATTCCATAACATACTGTGGCTGGATACCCAAATCCCCCCAAGCCACAATGTGGTTTGTGGTTGGCTTAGAAAAATATATAGCTTCAATTATCTCTTTCTACACATACAACATACAACTTCCAGCATTAATTCAGCTGAGAAACAATGGAAATCTTAGAACAAGGCAGATTGAAAAAGCAAGACATTTAAAAGCAAATAAGCCACAATTGACTTAATTCCTTTGCATGAATGTATGTAAGCAAAGATCCAATAGCAGTATATTTATTTATTGTTTTATTTATTGTTCGAATTTATATCCCGCCCTTCTCCTTGCGGACTCAGGGCGGCTGACAATCAATTAAAAACACCAATAACAACACAAAATTTAAAATTAATTAAAATGAAATATTTAACTTGTCTAATTTAAAATATAATTAAAAACTCCTCTAAAAACCCCTCTTAAAAATTACCCTAGGCCAGTCCCGCTTGTTNCAGGGATCACCCTGATCTCTGGGGGCAGCTCATTCCAGAGGGTGGGAGCTCCCACAGAGAAGGCCCTCCCCCTTGGGGTCGCCAGCCGGCACTGTCTGGCCGACGGCACCCTGAGGAGACCCACCCTGTGGGAGCGTACTGGCCGATGGGAGGTAATCTGTGGCAGAAGGCGGTCTCGAAGGTATCCTGGTCCGCTGCCTGTAGCATTCCCACCTCACACAGTAATAAATCAAAAACCTAAATAAACTAGAGATATTTCTCATATAAATCTAAGAACCAAAGCCAGCAACCCAACTATTATAGAAAAATAAGAGGTGGAAAAAATGAAATTTTGATTGTGGGCTTTACCAATTAGATAGATCTTATGTTATTGAAATGGCTAGTTTATATTATTTTGTAAAAGTAAAACGTTGAGGTTTGAAGTTGATACTCTATTGCACCAAAGGAAGTCGGAAGTCAATGCCATTTTTTTTCTTTTTTTCTCCCTTACTTCACTTCTCTACTCCCTTTTTCCTTCCCCATCTTTTCCGATATTTACTTTGTATTTTGATTGTATTGTATATCATAAACTAATAAAACTTTGTATATAAAAAAATAAAAGAAAAATAACACCCCCCACAAACCATCCTGTCACATAGCAAAACATTAGCGCTCGCAAGACAGATAACAGTATGTTATCAACAAGCAAATAATCTACTAACATCACTTGCAAAACTATATTCACCTACAGGACTATCCCACCCAAGCTTATATAAAAAAGGCAGGATATGAGGATATTGTGTATCAGGGGTCCCCAGTCATTGGACCGGTACTGGGCCACGGCATGCCAGCAACCAGGCCGCACAAAAAAGCAAAGCCCCATCCGCGGGATGCAAGCAGCACACAAAATCACGCCGCCTCCTGTCCGCAGAAAAACCTTTCTCCATGGAACCAGTCCCTGGTGCCCAAAAGGTTGGGGGCCACTGCCTTAGGGGAGCAAGTGCTCCAAACTGAGCTGTCTTTTGGTGTGCTACACTGGAGGAAAATGCTAGAAAAGAATTCAACCCATGCCAAAAATGATTTGCAATGTCTAGACATTATCTGGGCAATCATCTCTAAAATATGTCATGCAATGTATGCGGATCAGCACCAAACCCTCTTGTGACCTTTCCAGTTTTCTAGTTACAACAAACATTATAGCTTTGTTATTAGGTGGCAGTTATTCATTTTGTTCCCCACTACCATCTTATACTTAAGGAACCCAGTCTCATATGGGGGGGGGGGCGCTATTCACTAAAAATAAATAAAATTAATGGCGCCTTGATCTTGAGGGGAAGAAATCTATATTATCCCCTGTGTATTTCAATCAGATGCCCAACGCAGATGCAAAGAGGTGGCGCCCGCATTTTCTAAACAAACAAAACGGAGGTCTAAAACGGCTGAGATTCATCCCGTGACACGTGGCAGGCCAGGGAAAAGAAAA